AAGCTCAACGGTTGTTGATATCTGTAGTGCGTTTTGTCGTGATAATGTGATGTGAAAAGGTTAAAGGATAGAATTATATTTATATAAAAGTTGTGAATTTAATTGATTTGAAATAAAAATATTAAGAGAATAAATGGATACGATTATGAATTGCAGTTGAAATAAAAAAAATGTTTAGAATACCCCGAATTTAAGTAATAAAGTGTAAAGAGAAGAAAAAAGGTAATATATGGGTTGAGGTTAAATTATTGTGAGTTGTAAAAGAAAATAGGGGGGTTAGGAAATGAATTTTTGAATTTAAAGAAAAGTTAAAATAATTAATTTGGAATTTAACGGAAAGAATTTGTAAAAATTGGGGGATTTAAAAAAAAAATGTTTCATGATGAAGGAAACTGGTGATGTTTGATTAAATAATTTGTTAAGTTGGAGAGAAATTTAAAAAAATAAGGGTTGAAGATAATTAATACAATAAAAGAGAGTAATTATTTGTTTAAATAAATATGAAAAGTTATTTGGATATGTTGTGGTTCTTACGATAATTTAATAAATTTATTATTCTTTAATTTTTAATATAATCTCGACACGATACTTTCTTACTTTATTTTTATTCTTATTTCTTATATATACGCTACACAGTATTTTATTACCTTTATTTTTATTCTTATTCTTTATATATTTCTACACAGTACTTTTTTGCTTTTATTATTAATAATTTTTTAAAACACAAAAAAGAAAAAAAATTAATAATATTATATGCGAATATCTTTAGTCAGTCATAGCAGCTAAGTATTATTTTCTACCCATTTGTTATAAATAAATAAAAAGTTTATATTTGTAACTTAACTATGGTATATCCTAATTTAAATTGGACATGTTTACAATTTATATTTTTACCCATTTGTTTCAAAAAAAGTTTAAAAATAATAATTATGACAATTGTCAATTTTTATGGTACATCCTCATCTAAATTTTAATTTTACATGTTTACAATATATATTTTTTACCCATTTGCTACAAAAAAATTCTAAAAAGTTAAAAAATACGGATCATAAAAATTTTCACTTTTCTATGCTTTATCTTTCCTAACATTTCAATTTAGTATGTTTACAATTTTTTTTTTGCTAATGTGTTTCAAAAAAGTTTAAAAATAACGATTATGACAATTGTCACTTTACTATGGTGCATATTTGCTGAAATCCCAATTATACATGTTTAGAATTAATATATTCAATCATTTGAGACAAGAATCTTTTTTAAATAAAACGATACGACAATTGTCACTTTTCTATGGTTCATCTCCACTGATCCCAATATTACATGTTTACAATTTATACTTCACTCCGACCATACAATGATGCAAGTTCGGTTCAAAAATTAGATCTAGTCGACTAAATGGATCGATTACGCCGACAAAATTGATCAACTTAGTCGACTAATTTAGTAGCTAAAGTTTTTGGTCGAGTTATTCCGACTACGAACTATCAACACTTAACAATTATAGCGATATTGACCTCGTGATATATAATTCACTACAATATCTTTGCGATATATTTCGTGAAATAGTTTTCGCTAAATTGTCTTCGCGTAAAAGTATTCGCTAAATTGTCTTCGCGTAAAAGTATTCGCTTATGTAGATTCGGGATAAAAGTTTCACTATGACACTCATTCGTTATAAACGACGCAAAAAAAGTTTCGCCATAAAAGTTTCGTTGAATTGACAGGGAACCCTAAAATACAATTCCATATTATAGAAGCATAAATATGATAATATTAATAAGGAATCGTGTTTAGCTTATCGAGTTGATTTAGAAAATGTTTTTTTTTAATTTAAAAAATAATGGTAAATTATGAAATTCTAAAATAAATACACCTAGTATTCTCTTTAATTATGCGTTATTTTTTAAACATTTATCATGGTAAGCTCTTTAAAGGATTCAGAAAATGTTAATATTAATATTAATTATAAAAAAATTTAATAACAAAAAAACACTCTTTTTTTTAGTCCTATGCATCCTCTATTATAGCGGCTATGATTTAAAAATATAAATATAGAAGAGGATTCATAAAATGATAAAAATAATTTTAATATTTTTTTTGACTAAATTAACTTCTATTAAAGGGGGTGAAAATTTTAAAAAATTAATATAGAATTGTTTAGCTTATTGAGATTATTTCGAAAATGATATTTTATATTTTAAAAACTGGTATATTCAGCGTCTACATGAGCGGAAGGGGTATGAACAGTTTGCATCCTATTTTTTGAAAGGGTATGGGGTAAGCTGCTTTAATGGGGGTAGGATAAATTTTTTGGCGGGTTATCTATTAAATTTTGAGATGAAATAGGACAAAATTTAATGCTGTAAAAATTAATACTTTTATTATAATATTATCATAATACAATTCATCGACCAAATCTATATATTGCAAATAATCATACACATGGTTTTGCAAATAACTATCCTTTTAAATGTAATTTAAAAGTTTTAGATATAGCAAGCTCATAATGCCATAATAATTATTTCATTGTAAATAATGGAGGTTTTAGATAGATTAATTTAAGTTATTCTTTATAAATTCTTTGAAAAGAGTATCAATAAATAAATAGGTAATAATAATAATAAGAGACACCGCCGCCGAAGACTGCGAGAATTTTTTAGGGGGGTAGGCAAAGGTTTTTGAAGGGGGTTTGCATCCAGTAAAAATCTTGTCATGTAGACGCTGGGTATATTAGTAAAATATCAACAATAAAAAACCTTTTTGGAAGAATAACAAGCATCCCTGGCAAAGTCATACGCATTCGATAATAATCCACTATTTAAAATATATTCGATGGAATTCATAAAATGCTAATATTAGTTTTACTTAAGCATTCTATATTAAAGGGACTAAAAAAATTATTATTGATTTGGGTTTAGTTTATTGAGATGATATAGAAAATCTTATTTTTAATTTTTTAAAAAACTTGTAAATTGGTAAAATTCAAAATAATTTTTGGATAACTAAAATACACATCCCCGACAAAGCCTTACTCAAATTCGATAATTATGGGCTATTTTTAAAAAATAAATACAAGTTCATGTTTAGCTCTTCGAGGGTTTTGTTTTATATACAAATTTTCATAGCCCAACTATGCATCAATTATAAAAAGGATTACAATTTTAAAAAATTATTATAGATTTAAGTTTATCTAATTGAGAAGATATAGAAAATCTTATTTTTAATTTAAAAAAACTAGTAAAAAAGTATAACTAGGGGGTCGCCCTAGCCTTAAATTTTTTTTGGTTTATAAAATTTTCTTATACCCATCAGGGTTTAAGGTTTAAAAGATGTTAGAGAATAAACTTTAAATTTTCGTGAGATAAAATATTTACATATAAGAATTAAATATATAAATTAATTTTAACTTTTTGCTTGAAATAGAATACTCTGCAATTTACAATTTCTGAAGCCCCTTTATTTCAGAGATTTTTGCAATGTGGCTGTGATAGGGGGGGGGGGGATTGAAATGTCATCTCTCCTTCCCTCAACCCCTCCCTCCGCTGGCTATGTGTTAGTATTTCTAATATTTTTGTCAAAAAATATAAGATTTAATTATATTTAGGACTGATAAAATCAAGATATATTATGTTTTATATTCTTAAGTTGATACATCTTAATTTATATATATTATACAAATTTTATTAAATTGAATACATTATTTATATTATCTAAAATCCGGGATCACAAATGTATTTCCGTGCAGTTGGAGCAATTGCATATTACAAAAAAATCTTGCATAGAGATGTTACAAGCAGTGGCGTAGCTAAGAATTTTCCGTAGAGGGGGGTACATACAATTAAAATAGTCTGGGAAGCGAATCCCACCAGACCCTATTTTAACGGACCTTCGGCCATATTGCTTGGCCAAACCGGCTTTATCTTAAAAATTATATTTGTTTTTCTTATAACATAAAAGTCCTAGAATTATTGATCATGTGTTGTTAAACGGCTTGATTTGAGCCGATTTTTATAAACAGTTAACTCAATATTTTAGCCAAAAAAATATTGATCAAGCTTAGAGATTTCACGGATAATGTCTAAATATTTGTATCATCAATGAGAAAAATTTTCAGGCTTGCATAATTTTCTGGCTAATATATTAATAGCCATATCGGCTCAAATTGGCCATTAACAACACTAATTTTAATTAAAATAACACATTTCGACATAACTTTTATAGATACACGTTTCAATTTATTATACTTTTTTAGAAATCAATTTACAAATAAAAAGCGATTATTAATATAAATATTATATTGCTTTAACTATAAATATTATATTGCCTTAATTATAAATTATATACTTTATAACTATCACTAATACACATATAAATTGCTGATTATAAATGATATAAATTGCTTTAATTATAAATGTTATATTTTATAATTAGTAGTATTATATAACACATTTAAATCCTTCCACAAACGTCAAAACCAGAAAAATATAAATATTCATGATATTTATTCGATATAAAGTCACTTTTGAGTCTTTCGAACGTGTAATCTAAAAAAAGTTTGCTCTGGAGGGGGGTCGAAATTAGAACCCCCCCCTCTTAGCTACGCCACTGGTTACAAGATTAAATATAATTTTGTGATTCATAAAGTTATCTTGTACGCATCGCTTCGATGATTTAGATTTAAATAAATGTAAGAAAGTATGCTTTGAATTTTTGTTTTATAAAATATTAATACACAGAGAATAAACATTAAATTAATCTTCACTTTACTAAAATTTAAAATAACCTGTATGAAATAGAATAGTTAACAATTCACAAAAACCTTATTTGATAAAATTAAAAATATTGATAAACCAAAAGTAAAATATAGAAAAGATTCTTTTATATAATATTGACTATTACTCTCTAAATTGGATTAATATCTAGATAATCTTCTAATAACTATATCTAAATATTTAATTTACATGTATTAAATTATTTCAATTGTAATAATATCAAATATTGCTGTTTGTGTTAAGCATGCATATTGTTTATGAATGAATGAGTTATTAAACGTTTAAAGTCAAAGTACGTGAAAATTAATACATTTAAAATAATTTTATTGTAATTTAAGAAATAATAAATGTCTATAATACCTCCTCCTTTTCCGCATATGATGCCAGGAGGTAGACCTCCTATTCAACCAATAAATGTGATACCTCAACATGCTATTCAGATAACTCCTCCACCAGCCCCTAAACCTCGGGCTCAACAGATACCTGAATATTTAAAAGACGAATACCTACAAGATAAAGGTAATTATATTACAATTTAATCTTAAACATTTGTTTTATAGCAAAGAAATGGCAACAATTGCAGACTAAAAAATATGCTGAAAAGAGAAAATTTGGTTTTGTCGATAACCAAAAGGAAGATATGCCACCAGAACATATAAGAAAAATTGTCAGGGATCATGGGGATATGACAAATCGCAAATATAGACATGATAAAAGAGTATATTTGGGGTAAAAATTATTTGATATCTCAAAATTGGTTACAATAAGATTTTTAAAATATTTTATTTTTATAGATTGCCTAATTTTAATATTTTTTTATTATTTAAATTTTTTTATAGTGCACTTAAATACATTCCACACGCCATTATAAAATTAATGGAAAACATGCCAATGCCTTGGGAGCAAATTAGAGATGTTCAAGTACTCTATCACATTACTGGTGCCATAACATTTGTCAATGAAATCCCATGGGTTATAGAACCCCACTTCATAGCACAATGGGGGTATAATTAGATAATATTTTTTAAATTGATAGGACTTTTTCCAGAAAAACTCATACAAATTTTTTTAAACTTATTTTTATTTTATAAACTATTCTATCCTTGAAATATTTTAAACACTGCTTATAATATGATATAGACCTATAATTCTGAGGTAGGATAAACAACGCATATTAATATAATAGAAAGATAAATTTTCTCCTAAAGTAATACCCAAGTATATTTATATTCATTATTAGTTTTACGATGTTATCACAGCAAATCAATGATGTTAAGCCATGCTAATACTTATACAAATGGGAGTATTTTTAATATTCACATTTGCAAATGAGTTGAAAATTTGTATTTCTGAGATTTGCTTTTTTGAATTTTGTTTAAAAAAAATTAAATGACATATGTCAACTTGAAGGTTGAAGTTTTTTCCATTCTTTAAGTTGGAAATTTACAGTTATAAATTAAATCCTTATATAGTAAATTATCACCAAGGTTTACAAAATCTTCATTAATAAAAATTAATTTATTTTATGAATAATTTTATTTTTGTATGTAAATAAAATCGAATATGCATGTGTAATCACTTGGTTTGTAATTATTAAAAAGTTATATTTTCATATGAATAAATTTTAAAGTAAGAAGTTAATTTTATTGCACAAATTATTATATCCTTTTTTTCATCAGGGTTCACCTATATATATATATATATATATATATATATATATACATTAAACAATAAACATTAATGCTAAATAGTAATTAAGGTGTATAAATTAAAAATATAAATTTATACAAATTAATCATTAAAATACATTATTTACAATAACCATTGAAATAAATAATTATAATAATGTTATCCACCAGGCTTTTACAATATAAATTTATACAAATTAATCATCAATGGTATTAACAATAAAATGAAATAAATAATATTAAATACCAGGCTCACTAACTATTTACAATATTTACAGCATTTTGAGATTTATCAATATCTCAAAACAGGGTATACATGGGCCTAAATCTGGGTTGGATCGTATATTTTAAAACGCCATTATTAGCAATAAAAATTATTAGGTGCAAATGATACCTTTCAGGTTATATATATTAATAGTAAAATATAAGTTTAAATTTATAGTTTTTAAAAAAAAGAAGTTTTATTACTCAAATGAGTTTTAGGTGGGCCTGAAATATATATATATTTTTTTTTATTATTAATTCACCAAGAAGAGGAAATGCTGTCACAGATTTACCTTATCGATTAGCCATAAGTTGATCCACCAGTAAAGATAATATTACATTATTACAAAAATCATGGGATTTTTGGTAACTACCCATTAATACTTGTACCAATGAAGGAACATTTTATTCCTTAACAACAATAAGAACATACCAGAGAAGTAGTTTTGTTAAATGACCACCAAATTTGACATTGTTTAAAAATGGCTAACTCAATATTTTAGCCTGAGATTTGGCTAATAGATGTCCAAATTTTTGTGCCATCTATGAGATCAAAAAATATTGAATCAATATTAATTAAACAGGACAAAATAACACATCATCTTAATTTAACAATATTATAATGAATTCTTAATTAACATTACATCAAATTATTTACATACTAAATAAAATTTAACAATTAAATAAAATGTTAACATTGGAAAATGACTATTATTTAAATAAAAGCAAATAAAAGAGAAAATTATATAAACTTTGAACTTGTTCATCTATCCCTGTCCGATGGCAAAATATTAGATGGGTTTCCAAATATTCTCTTCTCTGGTGATAAGAGGAAACATCCCATTCGGGATTACGCGCTGTCTCCCAGTTCTCTAACTATCGAAAATATCCGATCTTAACAGTCGAAAGATGCAATATCAGGAAGTATTACCATCTTTCAAATCTTCATATCACCCCCCCCCCCCCTCCAATAGTTATTGGGGCTGGGCTCTTAGATCCCCAAGGCTACAATCTATTTAAAGATTTTAGATACAAAAGATTCCTAGAGTAATGAGGATCATGATTCTTTTAAAATTATACAGTCAGCTTTAATCGTGGTTTCTTAGATAACTGTTTATATTTTTCTTCTGAACTAAATTAAATTCACTTCTTATTAGTAATACACATACTTTCTATATAAATATGTATATATTGTCCATTTGAGAGTGTTTTTATTTTAAAATTCATAAAATAATAATACAATTTAAATGAAATATTTTTATTTCTTTATCATAGTAGACATTTTATAAAAATATCCATATTTATTTATTTATTATCCCTTTAATACAAGTTCCTATTTGGAGTTTTTAAATTCTTTGTTTTGTTTTTAAGAATACATTTTCATTATTTTTCCTATGTTTATTCATACTTTCTCTCCTACTAATCTCACTTCTTTTTCCCCCATACTATTAATATTTATTATATATTAACATAACATCTTATATTTTCCTAGTTTTTTTAAAATATATCTTACGCTAAATATTTGAAATATATACAGTGAATGGACAATTTCGATTTCTAAATAGTTTGAATTTTTAACAAATAAAACACTTTTTAATACAACTTAATCATCCTTCTGGTCATAGTTTATTTTATTTATTTGAACTCCATGTGGTTTGGGAGGAGAATTTTTCTCATTCCATTTCTAATCTTCATTTCTTTATATACCCACATTTACCGCCTTTTTTCAACAGCTCCATGTGGATCATGATGAGACGCGAAAAGCGGGATCGGCGCCATTTTAAACGTATGCGTTTCCCCCCTTTTGACGATGAAGAACCCCCATTGGACTATGCGGATAATGTTCTCGACGTGGAACCGTTGGAACCTGTTCAGATGGATCTGGATCCAGAAGAAGACAGGGCCGTTCTACCTTGGTTTTATGGACATAGGGCACTCGTCGGAACAAAGTTTTGATACAAAATTTTATATTCTAATTTAGGTAGGTTAGTGATCACAACCATATGAGCTTTGATTTGAACCTTGATTATAAGAATGAAACAACAAAAATAAAACAATAATTATTTATCTATTATTGTTTAAAGGTACATAAATGGTTCGACTTACAGGAAATGGCAACTTAGCCTGCCTATCATGTCCACCTTGTACAGACTCGCGAATCAGCTGTTGACCGACTTGGTAGATGATAACTATTTTTACCTCTTCGACCTGAAGTCCTTCTTCACCGCAAAAGCTCTTAACTTAGCTATTCCTGGTGGGCCCAAGTTCGAACCCCTAATCAAGGATTCCCAGATCCAGTTATAACCCATCGCTTTTTACCTGTTTTTAACTGATCTTTAAAGGAAATTTTTGAATAAAGGAACTGCAGTTTAACTCAGTTATTTTAACAATTTAATCGTACAATTTATTTTCTTGCAAATAAAGGGATGAGGACTGGAACGAGTTCAACGATATCAACAAGATAATTATCCGACAACCAATCAGGACAGAGTATCGAATAGCTTTTCCATACCTTTACAATAACATGCCCCTCTACGTTCATTTATCTAAGTAATGCACTCACTACTCGGCTCCATTTCGGAAAATGACCCGGTCAAGATTTTTAGCCAAAATAATATTCTCGTAAGCCAGGAGATTTTGCTCATATGTGACAGAAAGGTTTGAACCTCTCCTTTCCAAATCTCGAGGCTAATATTATTGCGGCTAAAATCATAGTCGGGTCGTTTTTCGAATCGGACCTTTTTAACAACCCCACTTACTAAGATTGATAACTGCCCATAACGTAGTTTTTATTTGGGTTATTTATTTCAATTTACTCAGGTACCACATGCCCAATGTAGTCTACATCAAGACCGAGGACCCAGACTTACCTGCCTTTTACTTCGACCCGCTGATCAACCCCATTTCCCACAGGCACACCTTCCGAGTAATTTCCATTTTCCTTCTTCCCTTCCCTCTCTTCTTTCATTAATTCATTCAGTCGTGTTTCGTTATTTGTTTAATTTCCCATGTTTCCTTTCATTTGTTACCACTTTTTAAAATAATTGCGCTCCTTTAAAACGTGGTGTTTAGCAACAAGAAAACTCACAACTGCCGACCCCCGAGGAGGAAGAAGCCTTCACGCTTCCACCCTTCTTCGAGCCCGTTCTCAAATCTCTTCCCCTCTATACGGACCACACGGCTAATGGTATAGCCTTACTTTGGGCTCCACGACCTTTCAACTCGCGTTCGGATAGATGCCGGAGAGCCATGGATATACCTCTAGTCAAGATTTGGTAAGGAATGTATTAGGAATTCTGAGAGAAAGGGGAGTTTGTTAGTAAGAGGACTAAACGGAAAAAAAATGAAGATCGTTTAACATTGTTTAATTTTTGAAACGAATCATTTTAGGTACAGAGAACACTGCCCGGCTGGTCAACCTGTCAAGGTCAGGGTCAGTTATCAGAAATTGCTAAAATATTTTGTTCTAAACGCTTTGAAACACAAACCGCCAAAATCACAAAAGAAGAGGTTACCCTTTTATTTCATTTATAAAAAAAATAGATTTAATGTCTAACTTTTTAAATATGACAATTTTACTCATCAACTTAACTCCCAATGACAAAATGATACCTAGACTGACATGTGTATACATCAACCGAAAAACTTCTGGGAACGCCATTTTGGTTACCCCATATTATTATTAAAAATTTTAAACGAGAGGCCAATTTATTCCTTATGTCTGACACAAACTTTATTAAAGTATTGCCCGATCATCGGGATAATAAGCAAGTTTATCAATTTAATAGTAATTTTTAACATGAGAATAATTACTATACATGTTACCAAAATGGCGGGTCCAGCTGATTTGCATTCAACGACGTTTTCAAATGCATTATCACGAATGGATCGTCAGTCTAGGTATTATTATATGTCATTGTTTACTCCTCAGTGGCGAGGTGGAGAAGTTTAGCAAATGAAAATGTAGTTCTTTTTGAAATGGTTTTTTTTTTAAATCTATACTAAACTATGTTTCTATAAAGTTAGTTTCATTTCGTTTTTCTGTCGAATAGATTCCTAATTTTGAGATGTTGTTTGCTTACATTTGGACTTGAAAGATTGAAATAAATTTATTATCGTTTCGATATTTAAATTTTTTTTTAGAGTAATATTTTAAACGTTTTTAAATAATAATTATTAGCTATTTATTTTTTTTTTTCCCATCAAATTTCCCTAAAATCTTTATCAGAATTAGTATTTGAAATATCATAACAACATAAATGATAATGTATTAGATATGACAAGGGCCATTTGAGAAGTTACAATGCCAGGTTAGGTTCTCTTTCTCTCTCAAAAGTAGGATTACTTTAAATTACCAATTATGTAAATTTACTTGCGCCCCCCCCCCCCATCTCCAACCCGATAGATATCTGTTCCGTTCTTTCAAGGCCACCAAATTTTTCCAAAGCACGAAATTGGATTGGGTCGAGGTAGGTCTTCAGGTTTGCAGACAGGGCTATAACATGCTCAACTTGTTGATCCACAGGAAAAGCTTGAATTATTTGCACTTGGATTACAATTTCAATCTCAAACCAGTCAAGACGCTGACCACCAAGGTATAAAATTAAGGAGGAATCAATGATAACTTTAAAATAGTTTGGGATGTTGTGTGAATCGATTAACGGGATAAATAAGATTAGAAATGTAATATAGCAGGATAGAATTTCTCAGTCTAACTGATAGGGCCATATTTTTTGAATATTTAAACTAAGCGAGATAAAACTATGTATAGAAAATTTTTTTTGAATTTTTTATTGACTTGTATGATTTGATTTTGAAGAATGTCAAAATCAAATTAAAATTAAAATTGCAAGAGATTACCAAATATATTATAAATGATTTAGAAAGAGTATCAATATAATACAGATCATAAACAGGAAATGGAATATAAATTTTTTGTATATATATATATATAAAAGGAAAGAAAAAAATCGCGTTTTGGAAACGCTTTCCATTTGTGTCGAGAAATTTTAAGGCTCACCAAATTAGTAGTAGACGCTCACGTCCAATATAGGCTCAATAATGTGGACGCTTTCCAGGTTGAAAATTTTTTTTAAATCCTATCAAAACAAATAATAAATTCATCCAATCGAAAGAGAGCTAAAAAAAAGCCCCCATTTTTTTTCGTCTAATTTAGTCATAGATGCAAGTTGATTTAAATAATAATATGCAATGAAAAATCTTTCCTTTCTTTACGATTAATTTATAATTTTCTATTCATTTTGTTTGTATGGTTCCATTCTTTTACTATAAAAAAAATATATAAGCTTGCTGATGGTTTGCAGTACATATTTTCCCACGTCGGTCAGCTGACCGGCATGTACAGGTACAAGTACAAACTCATGAAGCAAATACGCATGTGCAAAGATCTCAAGCATTTGATATACTACCGATTCAATACGGTTTATTTTATCACATAAATTTGATGTTACAATATAATTTTGCAGGGTCCGGTAGGAAAAGGTCCGGGATGCGGTTTCTGGGCAGCAGGGTGGCGGGTGTGGCTCTTTTTCCTGCGAGGGGTAACGCCCTTGTTGGAAAGGTGGTTGGGCAACCTTCTTTCTCGTCAATTCGAAGGGAGACACTCTAAGGGCATCACCAAGACAGTCACCAAGCAAAGGGTCGAAAGCCATTTTGACCTGGAACTCAGGGCTTCCGTATATTCCTTTTAATTTTTTTTAGTATTTCCTGTATTTCTCTTCTTTTTCCATATTCTTTTTATTTTATTCCCCATATTTTTGGTTCCTTCACTTTACACACGTTAAATTTTAGGTCATGCACGATATCCTAGACATGATGCCAGAAGGTATCAAGCAAAATAAAGCCAGGACCATTCTACAGCACTTGAGCGAGGCTTGGAGATGCTGGAAGGCCAACATTCCCTGGAAGGTTAAAAAGAAAAATTATTAAAAAAAATACAAACATCCTAACTTTTTACCCTTACCACATAAATATCAGTTCTACATATAATAAAAAACAAATCCATGATTACATAATTTAGATTTTCGATATTTATTTAATCATTTATTTTATTATAATGTTATTAAAACCCTAACCCTCTTTTCTCGCCGAATTGATTAATTAATCTCATCAAATTCACATGTTACTATCCAATTAGTAGCCAATTTTGTTTTGGCTAGCTAAATTTCGGAATCATATTATTTCAGAAAGCAATATGAGGAAAAATGGGGTTTGATTTTTTTTTAGAATTAAAATGTATTATGAATTTTATTTAAAACTTTGTATCTTTTTAAATAATTTGAATAATTCATGGTAAATTAGTTGGCATGCTTGGACAAACAATTAAATTGGTAAAAAACACTTTGCGACTTAATTTAGCTGAGCTAGGACGAGGTATTAGGAAAATAACGCAATTCCCTAAAATATTTAAGAGTAGGTTCATTAAATTTTAATCCATGCTTATTTTTTTTTTATGTCAAGGTTCCAGGCTTACCACTTCCGGTCGAAAATATGATTCTTCGGTACGTGAAATCGAAGGCCGATTGGTGGACCAGCACCGCCCATTACAACAGGGAACGTATAAGAAGAGGAGCCACTGTACACATACATTAATTTATTTCATTAATTTACTTTGAAGTTATCTAAAGTTCATTTCGATTTTTCAACCTTATTTATTTCTTTCCTTCTTTTATTTATGAATGCTAGGTTGACAAAACCGTGTGCAAAAAGAATCTGGGTCGTTTAACCCGCTTGTATCTGAAAGCGGAACAAGAGCGTCAACATAATTACTTAAAGGATGGTCCTTACGTGAGTGCGGAGGAAGCTGTGGCGATATACACAGCGGCCGTTCATTGGCTGGAGAGCAGACGATTTAGTCCAATTCCATTTCCTCCGCTGAGTTACAAACACGACACGAAGCTGCTAATTCTCGCGTTGGAGAGACTTAAGGAGGCATATAGGTTTGCAAATTGTTTTTTCTAGAATAAAGTAGACTTATATTTGCTAAATGACAAATTTTTTTCCATAGCGTGAAGAGTCGTTTAAATCAATCCCAGAGGGAAGAGCTTGGATTGATTGAGCAGGCTTACGATAACCCCCACGAAGCCTTGTCCCGTATTAAACGGCATCTTCTTACCCAGAGAGCCTTTAAAGAGGTTTAACCATAAAAATACTCGATATAATTTCAAAAATAGTTTTTTTATATAGGTTTTATCCTATAGTTATTTTATATTTTTAAGGAATTATTCATGGCATGAATAGGTTTGTATAGAATTGTTGTTCCCTTCTTAGGGATGATGAGGATTTATGAAATAAATTGATTATTTACAGTGAGTACGTGGAATGTAACTCGTTTTTAAAGGAGGACAAATAAAGAGAAAGGAAATGAAAATCTGTACCACATTTTGATAAATATCTTACAGGTGGGAATAGAGTTCATGGACCTCTACAGCCATCTGGTACCTATCTACGACGTGGAACCACTCGAAAAGATAACTGACGCGTATCTCGATCAGTACCTGTGGTACGAAGCGGACAAGAGGCGGCTCTTTCCACCTTGGATTAAGCCTTCCGACTCCGAACCGCCCCCTCTTCTTGTCTACAAATGGTGCCAAGGTTTGGTATATTTTTTTTAACCTCTTTATTCTATTCCTTTTGGAATTGTGATTTAAAGAGGAAAGATGGTGACGATAACATAAAAAATAACGAATAGGTTATAGGACGATTGGATTTAAATCAATTATGGCTATCAAGCTGGCAACGAGATCCTTTTTTTTTTCTTTTTACAGATGGACATTTGCTTTTAGGAATGTTTAGAAGGAATAAGCGAAAAAATGAAGCAGAAAATTAAAGGAATGCAAATACGATGAATAATGATTATTTTGTATTTTAAAGGCATCAACAATTTACAGAACGTGTGGGAAACCTCTGAAGGAGAATGCGATGTCATGCTGGAGTCAAAGTTTTGAATAATATATATATTTTTTTGAAAATTAAAATAGGATAATTTCTTTCTCTCTTTCTTTCTTTCTTTCTTTCTTTCTTTCTTTCTTTCTTTCTTTCTTTCTTTCTTGTCCTTTAAAGTCATAACAAATTTTAGCTCCGACTATATTCACTCTTTTTTTTTGTCATTTGATTCATTTATTACTTTTTTAAAAAGATAAATTGTAATACACAAATATTTAACTCTTTGAAGGTTCGACAAGATGTACGAAAAAATTGACCTGACGTTGCTTAACAGGCTCCTCCGCCTCATAGTCGATCACAACATTGCCGATTATATGACGGCCAAAAACAACATCGTCATAAATTATAAAGTTTGACTTCATTTCTTTCCATTCCTTTTCTTTCCATTCCTTTTCTTTCCATTCCTTTTCTTTTCTTTCCATTCCTTTTCTTTTCTTTCCATTCCTTTTCTTTTCTTTCCATTCCTTTTTATTTTATTATTAATTTCTATTTTTTTTAAAAAATATCTTTCCTAGTGTTTTAAACGTTTATGATGAATAATGTCATGCTAATTCCTATGTAGAAGGGCCTTAATTTATTTGGCGCCTTTCGCATTTGACGAAAAATATCCTTGCACTGAAAACGTTTACTTTGAAATTTCTTATTTTTCCCTTTTATATTTGTTTGTTTTAATAACTTTTCCTTTATTCTTATTTTCTTTCCCATCTTTTTCTCCTTCATTTCTTAATAAGTGATATACGTGTACATATTTAATTTAGGACATGAACCACACCAATTCCTACGGTATCATAAGGGGTCTTCAATTTTCTTCCTTCATGACCCAATATTACGGACTCGTTATGGATTTGCTGATCCTTGGACTCCACAGGGCCAGCGAAATGGCGGGCCCACCACAAATGCCCAACGACTTTTTGACCTTTCAAGTCAATCTCTCACTCTATCTTTTTTTAAAAACCCCAAATATACATTTTATAAGCGTGATAAAAAAAAAATTAGAAATTAAATCGAGTGTTTTTATAAGATTAAAATTAATTTGTCGTGTTTATTATATATATATATATACACCCTCCAATCACTTTTTTGCAGAATCGGTTAAAGGTCTCCAAAAACCCCTTTTGGATCTTCCAGAGTCTTTATTAACCAGTCTCATATTAATTTAAGATAATTCTACGAGTGGAGGGGGGATTCTGTTCAAGTAATCATGTTGATTGTTGAGTCTCCATCATAAATTAGATGTATTTTTTAAAATATCTTCACGATAATTAATATATAGGATGTGGTAACGGAAACATCTCACCCTATTAGGCTTTACTCCAGATACATTGATAAGATTCACGTCTTCTTCCGGTAAATTTTATTTCATTTCCTATTTTATTCCTATGATGATCTAAAATTGTTCTTTAAATCTCTTTTATTTATAAATCAACCACCAGGAAAATTAAAACTAGTGTAATTAATTTGGTTATTTCATGATTTATCTTGAGGAAATTCTCTCGACTATTTATCCAAATTTAAGATTCAATTTTCATTCCTTCTGATTCTTCCTCTTTTCTAAATTAAGGTTCACCGCCGAAGAGGCGCGCGATTTGATTCAAAGATATTTGACGGAACATCCTGACCCTAATAACGAGAACATAGTCGGTTACAACAATAAGAAGTGCTGGCCAAGAGACGCCAGGATGAGGCTCATGAAGCACGACGTTAATCTGTAAGTCACGTGATAAATGGAATTTTAAAAAAGGAAGTAGGAGAGAATAGACAGGCTAAACAGGATATGTTTTTGTTTTGGTTTTTTTTTTATCGTAGCCCTAGAGAGAGATCAAAAAAACAAAATAAGCTAGAGAAAATTATTCGGTGGCGAATTGCGTGTTTATATACCCTATATGTTACAGAGGCCGAGCCGTCTTTTGGGACATCAAGAACCGCCTTCCCCGTTCAGTCAGCACCGTGATATGGGAAGAAAGCTTCGCCTCGGTCTATTCGAAAGACAATCCGAATTTGCTATTTGATATGAGCGGGTTCGAATGCCGGTTATTACCCAAGTTGAGGGCCCTCGTCGGGGACGAGTGCACCCACAGGGACGGAGTCTGGAACTTGCAAAATGAGGTCGGTTTTTTTTTAATATTTGGATTTATTATACCATTTTTCGCATTTACTTGGTGATGCCAATAAGATTGTATTCATAAAAAAAAATTAATTCTAATTAAACTATTTTTCAAAAAAATGGAGGTGACTAAGGAACGCACAGCTCAATGCTTTCTCCGTGTGGACGACGAGAGTATGCAACGCTTCCACAACAGAGTCAGGCAAATTCTCATGGCATCTGGATCAACTACGTTTACTAAAGTAAACATTCCTCTCACTTTGTTCATTTGCCCGTCATAAATTTTGTTTATTTTTTTTCTATACACGCAAATTTGATTAATAATCTATAGATAAGTTGTTATATCTATTTATGAATTAAAACATTCTCTAATTATCGTTTATATTTTGGGCAGTGGTTAATATAAATTTGGGTGTCGAAAATACTTGGCACAAATTTGGCAACTTAATTCAAAATTATCCGTTGAAATTTATTACAGTTAAATTATTCTGAATTTGATTTTATATATATAAAAAAAGTTTTTATTATTCATATAATTACACAATAAATTTTCCCAAAGTTCCGTTCCCAGAACGTGTTTACAAAAACGGGACAAGGCAGAATGCTTTTCTTATAATTATCGTTCATTATAGATAGTAAACAAATGGAACACGGCTTTGATTGGCCTCATGACTTACTACCGTGAATCTGCGGTCAACACTCAAGAGCTCCTGGATTTGCTGGTCAAGTGCGAAAACAAGATTCAAACCAGGATCAAGATAGGCTTGAACAGCAAAATGCCCAGTCGTTTCCCCCCAGTTGTGTTTTACACGCCCAAAGAGTTAGGAGGATTGGGGATGTTGAGTATGGGTCACGTGCTCATACCCCAGTCTGATCTCAGGTTTGCATTTTGATTAGAATGAACCACTTTTGGATGTTATAAATATACTTACCCGCTAAAAGTTTGGTCATTATTTATTATTCCTATACTCACTTACAGATGGATGCAGCAAACCGATGCGGGCATAACTCATTTCCGGTCGGGTATGAGTCATGACGAGGATCAGCTGATTCCCAACCTTTACCGTTACGTGCAGCCTTGGGAAAGCGAAATTGTGGACTCGCAGCGAGTATGGGCGGAATACGCCCTTAAAAGGCAGGAGGCCAATGCCCAAAATAGGTTTTTAAAACATACATTATGGTATGATATGTATTTAATGAAAGATTAGAAAATGAATTTCAAAATGAGGAATAATGTAGAAATATTCATGAAGAAAAATTATATATGGTTCTGTTAGAATACGGTTGCATTATCAGTTATTATGATATTTGTGTTTCCATAAATTACATTATATAATTTATGGATACATTTTCTCCTATTTCAATTTATTTATAGAATACGTGGCTTGGCATTGCTATAATACAATTCATAATGCATTCTCTTAAATGAGGATCAAATTTTTATTTTGATCCAATCTTTCGTTACTATATATTTTTAGGCGTTTAACGTTAGAAGATTTAGAGGACAGCTGGGATCGTGGCATACCAAGGATCAACACATTGTTCCAAAAAGATAGGCATACCTTAGCATACGATAAAGGATGGAGGATTAGAACTGATTTTAAACAATATCAGGTACATAGATGGCAAATAATATTTTTTTGGGGGAGCTAGTGTTGTAAGTTACTTTTTATAAAGCTTAAGCTGTTACATTCCAAAAAAAACAATTATTTTTTCCAAAAATGTAACTATATTTAGTAACACTAGTGGGAAGAAATGAGAATAGAAGCAAATATTGGAATGAATGAGTAATAAATAATGTTAGATTGATAAATTTAATAATTTAAAAATCGAATTTTCGATTAAAAACAAAACACCAAAAGGTTCTAAAACAAAATCCTTTCTGGTGGACCCACCAAAGGCACGATGGCAAATTGTGGAATCTCAACAATTATAGAACAGACATGATTCAGGCTCTGGGAGGTGTCGAAGGAATACTAGAGCACACCCTCTTTAAAGGAACCTATTTCCCGACCTGGGAGGGACTTTTTTGGTTTCATTTCTATAATATTATTTTTGTAAAGACTGTGGGAGAAGGACAATAAAACCTTATTTGCATAAGATAAAAAAAATAATGGCGTATCCCACATGATGTGACTTATTTTATACAGGGAAAAGGCAAGTGGCTTCGAAGAATCCATGAAATATAAGAAGCTGACCAATGCACAGAGGTCCGGTCTCAACCAGATACCCAATCGACGTTTCACTTTATGGTGGTCGCCTACTATCAACAGGGCCAACGTATATTCATTCATTCATTGGTCAACATAAATTATTCTATTTTTCAGGTGTATGTCGGTTTTCAGGTGCAACTCGATCTAACGGGGATCTTTATGCACGGAAAGATTCCCACTTTGAAAATTTCTCTCATCCAAATTTTCCGGGCACATTTGTGGCAAAAAATACACGAATCCATAGTTATGGACTTGTGTCAAGTCAGTTTCTCTATTCCTTTATTTATTTTTTTTAAGACAATTTTTTTTTTTTTTTTTTACAAACACGGAAATTTTTAAATTTATGAATAGGTGTTCGACCAAGAATTAGACGCCCTCGAGATTGAAACGGTGCAGAAGGAAACCATCCATCCCAGAAAGTCTTACAAGATGAACAGTTCTTGTGCCGATATTTTACTATTTGCCGCTTATAAATGGAATATATCTAGACCTTCACTCCTCGGGGATTCCAAGTAATACTTAATTATATTTTTTCTGCACTCACTCTTTCAAATTTATATATATTTTTTTTAACCTATTCCCTTCTTTTTCTGTAAATTCTGTAAGGGATGTCACGGACGCGTCAAGCGGTGGTGGCCAAAAATACTGGCTTGACGTTCAACTCAGGTGGGGTGACTACGACTCCCACGACGTGGAACGTTATGCTCGCGCCAAATTTTTAGACTACACTACCGATAACATGAGCATCTACCCCTCACCGACAGGTTGCTTAGTAGCTGTGGATCTGGCTTATAACCTTTACAGGTTACTAATACTCTATATAATAAAACCCACTGCTTAACCCATTTTTTGATAGGCCACTTTTTATGCCTATGAAATGGGTCTTATATCACATTCCATCATTTCAATTCATTCAATATATTTATGGAATTTAACCATATAGCGCTTATGGCAATTGGTTTCCAGGGATCAAACCACTCATTCAACAAGCCATGGCAAAGATTATGAAGGCTAATCCTGCTCTTTACGTTTTGAGGGAACGCATCAGGAAAGGTTTACTTATTTTCACTCTTGCCAAGCTTGTAATAAAATTGACCATTTTCTGGTCAATTTAAGGCCATCGTGATATTAGACCTAAAATTAAAACGATAATCTACCTTTTACCGTTAGGTTCAATATATTCACATATTTTGTCATCCAGGTCTGCAACTCTATTCCTCGGAGCCGACTGAGCCTTACCTCTCTTCACAAAATTACGGGGAACTCTTCAGCAATCAAATCATATGGTTCGTTGACGATACCAATGTTTACAGGGTCACCATACACAAGGTCAAAAAATTGATTTTATTACTGAAGGACAGGTTAGGCCACGTGTGAATGAAAATTTAACCAATCTAAAAAGATAATAAATTTTTAAATAAATGAGGACATTTAAAAGGGATTATAGTTAACCAATATTTATTTTGCGAGCTTTTCTAAAGGCCTAAAAGAAATAAAAATAACAAAAACATTTAGACGTTTGAGGGCAATCTAACCACCAAACCCATAAACGGCGCCATTTTTGTATTTAACCCGCGGACCGGTCAGCTGTTTCTCAAAATTATTCACACCTCGGTTTGGGCTGGTCAGAAGCGATTGGGTCAGCTGGCTAAATGGAAAACTGCGGAAGAAGTTTGTTCTTCTAATTTTATTTTTCCCCTTGTTTTTTAAGGTAATGAATTAATCCTATCCTTTAATTATGTTATAAAGGTGGCTGCTCTAATTCGCTCACTCCCAGTCGAGGAACAACCCAAACAGATCATAGTTACCCGCAAGGGCATGTTAGATCCGCTAGAAGTCCATTTGCTCGATTTCCCTAATATCGTTATTAAGGGGAGCGAATTGCAATTACCGTTTCAGGCTTGTCTCAAAGTAAAGTTCTAATGCCTACCTTTCCATTATTTCAGTTTATAACACGTGGTTTTTAAGTGGAATAAGGGCGAAAGTCTTTTTTCTCATATGAATGTATTTTTACAACCAATTTTATAAATGCTGGATAGATTTAAATAGAAGAGCCACCGCCACGACGCTCTATTGCTATGGAACAATTTATATAATTTAATGGATTATAAATTTATTTATTAAATGATTTATTAACAGATCGAAAAGTTTGGCGATTTAATTCTCAAAGCTGGGGAACCACAAATGGTGCTGTTTAACCTTTACGACGATTGGCTCAAGACCATATCTTCCTACACAGCTTTCTCTAGACTCATTCTCATCCTCAGAGCTCTTCACGTCAATAACGATAGAACTAAAGTTAGTTAGCTTGTTAGAAAGTTTTATCCGATATTTCGCCCTAAAAATGATCGATCCTTTTATCTTCCCCAGATTTTTCTTAACAAATTAAGTTTATTAGCAATACCCATAATTTAGTTCCAACCCCATCTAAACTTCTCTCTGATTCTCCCAATCATTAACCTGGCGATTGTGGGATCAGTCGATAATCTAACATGGCTTACTTCATTCTGTTCATACACATGCTTATTGTGTCTTTAAAACATTTCTAAAAAAGAAATATGATTTACTAGTCCAAAAATATTTGGAAATACTTTTAAATGGCTCCCTCCTAACCCATTCGATCTCCTAATCATTCATGAGCCCTTATACAATATCCTTATTCTTTTATTTAGGTTATCCTCAAGCCTGATAAAACTACCATAACCGAATCCCATCACATTTGGCCAACACTAACTGACGAGGAATGGATTAAGGTGGAAGTCTCCTTGAAAGATTTAATTCTCGCTGATTACGGAAAGAAAAACAAGTAATAATTTTTTTGATTAAGGGGAAAAAAATATTGAAAATAGAATGGAAAGCGAAATAAATTGAATAGAAGAAATAAAGAAGGGAAAAGATTAAAAAAAATAACGAATAAAATTGGATAAGTAAAGATAGAAAAATAAAAAAAAATTTGTTTAATTTTTGTTGCAATATTATTTTCCAGTGTCAATGTGGCAAGTCTGACTCAGTCAGAAGTACGCGATGTCATTCTTGGCATGGAAATTAGTGCCCCCTCTGCACAACGGCAGCAGATTGCAGAAATCGAAAAGCAAACCAGGGAGCAGAGTGGAACAGGTAATATTTTTTATCTTTATCTTATCTCTTCATTTTATTATATTTTCCTTATTAAGGCGTGGCCGAACCTGACAAGCAACAACACCTCACATCAATCACGACTCGAACTGTCAACAAACATGGAGACGAAATTGTTTCGGCCACTACGAGCCAATATGAAGCCTCGGCATTTGCCAGCAAGACCGAATGGCGGGTTCGCGCGATTTCAGCCACACATCTTAGACTTCGTGCTGCACATATATATGTTAGCGGCGTGACAGAAGGCGGAGCGTTGGGCGGGGAGGGAGAAAGTAAATGGAAATAAATATGTATTTCAAAAAGAATGATAGGTATAAATTGAAGTGATAAAAATATAAAGAATGAAAGAAAGAACGATTAAAAATCTAATCCTTAATCGAACAAATAAAGATGAATGCTTTTATAATTTATTCCTGTATATTATTTGATTAGGTAGGAGATCTGGGGCCAGTGGATTCAACAATTACACTTACGTTCTTCCAAAAAATGCCCTCAAAAAGTTTGTTTGCATCTCTGATCTTAGAGCTCAGGTTAATTCATCATATTAAAATTTTTAAATATTTATCAGCGGCGTTTTCAATTTTTTATACCATTTCTTACTTAATCTTCTAAAAAGAACGATAGTAATTTGCTTATTAGCATCATACATAATACACCCGGAGCTGTTTTCAAAGATCAGTGACTTCTACGACTAGTTGTTAAAAAACTTTTTACTTTATAAGGTAAGTTATATAAATATTATTTTCAGATATCTGGTTACATGTATGGGGTAAGTCCGCCAGATAACCCACAGGTCAAGGAGATTCGTTGCATAGTTATGGTTCCTCAATGGGGCACTCACCAGACTGTCCACCTTCCTAACGCTTTGCCTGACCATGAATACCTAAAGGTAAAATCATTTTTCCCTGTCATATTGTATTCCATAATTATTGTAACATAGTGTTCTAAAATCTTTCACAAGCTTACTTAACCGTTTATAGCTGCTTAAATTGAAAAAAAAGGATTAATAAATGCTATATAAATAAAACGATGGAAAAAAAAATATTATTAGGAAATGGAACCTTTAGGCTGGATCCATACTCAACCTAACGAATTACCCCAGCTATCGCCTCAAGACATAACTTTGCACAGCAAGATTATGGCTTCCAACCCAGAATGGGATGGGGAGAAAACTATTATCATCACCTGCAGGTTAATTCATATTAATAAAAAAATTAGTATGCTCAATTACTATAATTTATATGCACCTTGAAGGTTGTGTGTTCAATTCTAGCCATAATAATGGTTAAATTTTACTCTAGTGGTCTGTCTTGCTTGGTTTGCGCGAGGTGTTTAGAAAATTGTATAAAGATTGAATAGAAAAAAAATTTATGAAAATAATATGAACAAAATAAAATAATTTTGTAAACTTTAATTCAGTTTCACTCCAGGGTCTTGTTCCCTGACAGCGTATAAGCTTACCCCCTCGGGCTTCGAATGGGGGAAAGGAAATGCGTCCAACCTGCTTTCCACCGATCTCAACAACCCTAAAGGCTACAGCCCCGCACACTATGACAGGGTCCAAATGCTCCTCTCTGATAGATTCTTGGGATTCTTTATGACACCAACCTACGGTTCCTGGAATTACAATTTTATGGGTAAAATCCGCAAGTTTTCGTTATATAATATAAAAAATATTTTAGTTGACTTCTTTTCTTTTTATTGCTATAAATAATATTGATTTTTAAAAATCATCTAATCCCTATTTGGTTATCTCACACCTAGAAGATGGATTTAAAAAAAATATCAAGTATAATATGATTAGAATCTGTTCAAAATCCAATTATATTTCAGATATTCAATTGGCATAATATTCATTATTTTTCTTATTTATTTAGGTGTTAGACATGACGTTAACATGAAGTATGAACTGGCTCTGGCTAATCCTAAAGAGTTTTATGATGAGGTCCACAGGCCTTCCCATTTCCTTAATTTCTCTTCTATAGAAGACACCGAGCAAGTCGTTGCAGATAGGGAAGACGCCTACATATGACGGATGTTCATCCTCGCAAAGCAATCATACATTATTAACTTATTTGTAGATCATTTTTTTAAATATTCATTTTCCATTTTATATGCGTTTTTTTTTCACTTTAAAATATCGTGTAATATATAATATATATCGATTTATTATATTAGTTTTAAAACTATAAATGACTTCAACTTAATGTATTCTGGAAAAGGTTGTACATCATTTGGAAAATAAAATTGATTTTTAAATGTGTCAAGCGAGGAACATTTATAATAATTTTATATAATATGTTATATAGTGATTTGTATATAAATATAACTAGCTTTATCAATCAATATTTATTAATTCTTGCGGGAATTTATGTCTTATTGAAAATAATTATCGAATAAATTTTTTAAAAAAAAGAGAGATCAAATGTTGCAAAATTTGCTAATATAAGTTTACATATCTTTATAGTAAAAACTAAACACTTTTACCTAAAAGGCGATTAGCTTATTAAGGACGAACGCTACGTTATATGTAGGTAGTGCAACTTATTTGGTCATAACTATTTGTGACATCGATTTTTGTCTGTCAACATATATCCATCGGGCTGTTTGATTAATATCTCAGGATCTATTTTCTCTGTTTATAACATGATTGAACCCTGTCTATGTTTTTTGAAATCTAAAGTTCTAGGACAACTTAAAGTAATAAGTTTGGTTAATTCATTAAATGTTATATTTGGATTTATCTTATACATTTTTGATATTCCCTTTCGATATTTTGATTTTCTTTCTATACAATCTAAATAATTTTATCTTAATTGCACATGTATCAAACAATTAACGAATATAATTATCTATTGATAAAAAGAATGGCCGTATATTTTATTAATATTATAAATCCTGAAAGTACACTCAAACATTATAAAATTTACTAAATCCCTTTAAAATCTGGGTTTGTGCACACAGCGTTTGGGTTGGCTGAAAAAAAAATATTTGTCAGAATTTGATTCAGTTATCGCTTGGAGTCAAAACATATTTTTCGCCTTTATTCGATATTACTTATACAAAAAAAGGTGTAATATAAATTATAAATAATTAAAAGTCAATTAGTGTTTATAAAAGATGAAATATCATTCAACCAATTAAAAACAACTTTGTAAAATGAGTATATATAAGCTATTGCAATCTATTTGACTATCCTTTTAGCCACCAAATATCATTTCCTAATAGTTTGTACAGAGCCAAAAAGCTGACTTTATGACCTCTACTTCTTGTGCTAGAGGAAGATGACGACGACGAAGAAGAACTTGATGATGAATGGTGGTAATGGCCTACGAATTTTTTTCCGTGCCTCTTAGCCCTGCTCAACACCGCGCTACGCTTTTTCCTATCTTTGCTAAAATTAAACAAAGGTGTTTCCGAAGGTTCTAAAGTTTTAAGGAAATCGGGAAATTTGGCATCACCCTTGGGCAAACTTCTGCCTTTGCCACCATTGTCGGCACCATCTCCTACGATATCTAACTTGGTGATATTCGAATAATTTTTATCATGGTGATGTGATTTTTTGGGATCGTCATTGAAGATAACGTATTCACTCTTTTTATTGCTTCTCGAACGTTCACTCTTGAGGCGGTATAAGACTCTTCCGTACAATTTAGCCGCTAAGATGGTCAATATCTTCGATAAAATAAATAAATAACCATTATATTTCATGAAAAAATAAATTAAAAAAATTGTAATTATAGGAATAAGGGATATCCAGTCCCTTATAAATATAGAAATTGGAACCCTACAGCTGGCCTATGTTTTCTGATCCTATTCGAAAAATAAAATTGTTTCGACCGATTTCGACTATAAGAAATATCATGTTCCGACTTAAAATATATAACGAACTGATCTTAAAAAAATGAAATGTGCAATCAAGAATAGCAGAATATTTACGAGCACTGGTGTATTTTACTGGTTATTTTTATTTAAAATAATATTTAATAAAAAGCATTTGGGAAAACAAAAATAGGTTAAAATTTTGCCAAGATCCGAGCTAGGAATATTTTGCTACACGGAAAAAAATAAAATTTAGGACTCGATCGAATTCCAGAGTATATTTGAACAAATCAGAATGAACCGAGGTTCTGTCAGATGCGCATGCGTTTAATTTGTATCTTCGCTCAGTTATAGGGCAATTTTTACGAATCGGAAATTTTCATGTAGTCATAAGTGAGCATCAAATCAATTCACTTTTAAATATGCTCTTTTCCCTATCAAATTGTCGCAAAAAATGTTATCGACGGTTAACGTGTAGAACAAGTTAAAATTTCTATTTAATGTATAATAAAATATCTACGACTATATTATTTGTGAGTAAATTTTTAAAACCGCGACTTTTATACTGATATCCGTAATTGCTATAACTATAAATTTATTTTTATATCCCCCTTTCCCAGTTTAATTTCCACTTTTAAGATCGGCTAAAATTAACCCATGTTTTTTTTAAGACAATTTAAAACACAATCTAACTTCCATTACAAAAAAGATAATGGGTAACCATTCATTTTGCCGAGATCATCAAAGTGCTGTGTTAAACATAATATTTACGGTTTAAACATTCCCCTTCTATAAAATCAAGTTTAGACATGCCAAAATTAGAGAAAAACCAACAAAAAATTTTTTTATTTTATTTTATTGCATTTTTTTTTTGAAATTAAATAATTTAACTAATCATACAATTTTAATATAATATTACAAGCATTTAAAAATTGGTCAAAAATTGCTTCCAAGCCTGATTATAATATTCGCTATAACCGTTCTTTTCGGCTATAACTATCAGTTACAAGTCAATTTTGAATGTAATGAACGATCCACAAAGAAGCTGTTATAAGGATATCCAATCTAAAGCGTATTCTTTCTTTCTTTCTTCTTCTTCTTCTTTCTTTCTTTCTTTCTTTCTTTCTTTCTTCTTCTTTCTTTCTTCTTCTTTCTTTCTTTCTTTCTTTCTTTCTTTCTTTCTTTCTTTCTTTCTTTCTTTCTTTCTTCTTCTTTCTTTCTTTCTTTCAATAGCACTACTTTCAACTTCTACTACTTCATCTTCAATCTTACTTACTTATTTCTTAATTAATTAATGATATACATTATAAATAATGTTAGTAAAGGTTTTTAAGTATGAATAACATTCAAATAGACATTCGAATGGTTCACACTCATTAACTTAATACTCATTTATAAATAATGAAAAAAAAATTATAAAGGCCCGGCCCGGATTTTTTAAAATACATATATATTTTTTTATTTTTGATTTTTTACAGCTAAAAATGGCGATTTCAAATATTTGGTTTTAAAATATACGGCCCGGCCCGGATATCTGGCTCGGCCCGGCCCGGATATCCGGCTCAGTATATTTAGAAAAATTGAAATACCGTCCAGGCCGGGCTAAGGGTCGGGTTTGCAGGTGTCTGAAAAATATACCAATGATTTGATTTTTGCGAGATAGTGAAGCAGAAAGTTATATCGGGTTATTTTGCCTCCCTAATTTCCAGATAAATATTAACCTGGATGATTACTAAAAAAAAATGGCGCACTCCATACGGAGACCCATTTTTCAGATCATGCTCCTGATCCGATAAAAAAAAAATTAAAATTTTTTCACTGATCGCGACTTTTCAAAAGTAAGGCGGAAAAATTATAAGATTTGGAGGGAAAAAAATTTTTTTTTTGTATTGAAATTGATCACAGGCTTTCACTGGTTCAAATAAAGTTTATATTGTTTATAATGTTATAAAATAGTTTTTACTTAAGCCATAGTTAATAAAATCTATATTTTCAGTGAAACTTATGCTTCCCCCCCTCTTCTCTCTTCTCTTCTCTTCTCTTCTCTCTCTTTCTCTTCTTCTCTTCTCTTCTTCTTCTCTTCTCTTCTCTTCTTCTCTTCTTCTCTTCTCTTCTCTTCTCTTCTCCACATACAAAAGCAGTATAGAATCACTAAGAAATGTATATGTAATTTTAAAGCATTTTACCAAACATTGGGATAGGATAGAAATTAAATTCATTCTTTTTAATAAAATATTTTATTTTAATGAATTACACCACAAATGGGCTTAATTTATTATTTAAAAATTTTTTAAAATTTAATTAAGTTATTTTTTTTTTTAAAATAAAATGTTTGAATTTTTGTGTATTTTTAATTTTGAAATATAGTGTCAATGCCATTAAAATTTTTTTTATTTAATTGGGTAAAGTTTGTGGAAAGTAGGTGGATAGGTTATAAAATACTTTGATTATAAAATATTAAAAAAATTTGATTTTATTACATTAAAAAACACCCTTTTTTAAAAAAAATAATATTTTTTTTTAAATATAAAATTACGAAAAAGGAGATTAAAGGTATTATTTGGGTTTTCATTTCGATTTGAAAAAATTAGGTTTATTTACATAATTATTTATTAATTTTCTTTCTCTCCTTCTATCCCAACTTAAACATTTCTTCCCTGGTGGAATATCCATGGACTTTTCGGACAAAATAAATAAATTTAAAAAAAAAAAAATGATCAATGAATTCAAATATTTTCCCCATTAAATTTTATGATAAAAGAAAATATTTTCAAAATGTGACCTTCGACTTTTATTAAATATAATGGTTATAATAGTAACTCTCTTATCATCTTATTAGATATATATTTTTTTGAATAAAGATGTTTTTTTTAACATGGTAAAACTGAAATTTTGTTACACAGTTTAAAAATGATTATCACACACACAAAAAATATTTAAGTAAGTTGATAGAGGAAACGGCTATTCAAATCAATATGATTTTTTTTTCTTTCTTAAAAGCTATTATAAATAGTCTCATCATAAACTTGTTATATCATATCACAAAAATTTTATCACGGATATTCTTATAATAAAAAACTTTATTTTTCCGAACATGAATTCTTTATTAGCACTTATTGTGGTAAATTCTCCAAATATTTATTATATATATAAAAATTTTTACAATTATGAAAAATCAAATTCTTTATATTTATTTTTTAAGATTTTAAGATTTATATATTATTTTTTTTTAAAAATCAAAAAAAGTTTTTATTGGTCGCGATGTACGCCAAATCTCAGTATTATGGAGGATACCCATATGGCGGCTACCAATCACCATATGGGTACGGCGGTTATCCTTATACTCCGTATTCGCCGTACTCCTCGTATAGCTACAATTCCTTCCCTTATTCTCTGTATTATGGATAAGATAAGCCAGGGAAATAAATAACCTTTCCTTACCGCAATTTTCTAGTCAAATATTTATACCTTTATAAAATAATAATGTAGCCAAATATTTTTTTTTTAAAAATAATATGATTATTATTGAATAAAATAGGAATTTTAAAATCGATTTACAACTATTTAGATTTTTGGGATGGTTGTGTTACTGGTAAACTTGCACATTATTTCATACAAATTTACAAATTTATCAAATTTATCTAATAATTGTCATAAGAACTTCTAATAAATTTTACACCATATTTGACCGCTAAAAAGTCACTTGAACGGTCACACACTGGGTAAAAACAAATTCAAAAAAAAACTTTTCCACTTTCCACTAACGATAAAAAGGGGAGGACGGTGATAGGAATACCCTGTAAATACAGAAATTTTATTTTAAAAATCTCCACATTGTACAAAATTATCAACGTTATATTATAATATTGTTTATAATTTATATTACAATTCATAATGATTGAGTGTAAAACGATATAATTTTGGTTGAGATGTTTTTAAATAATTATCTTTAATGATAAAAGACAACTGATGCAGGCTATCTTGAGATACATAACACAATCTTTAGAATTTTTCTAAACTATTTTTTAACAACCTTGATTTTATTAACTTAATCCCTTTCAGAGTAATTATTTTCCAATAGAGCTTAATTTATTTATGTTCTGAAAATTAAAATGGTCGTTTAGATTAAAAAATTTTTTTTTACATATTAATTTATATTAAAAAAAATTGGAAAAATCTTTTGATCTTTAGGATCTTCTTCTATGCATTCTGCAATTATTTTTTCAAGAACTATCTTCCAGTTGGTGGTTTAGGTTGATTCATCATTGTTTAAGTCACAGATTCTACAATATAATTCAACAATCTTCAATTAATTATTCGATACTTTCTGGAATGATGTTGGCCTATTTGTTAATACCTGATTTAAATTAGTCGTTTCTAACAAATATTTGAAATAACTAACTAAAAAATCTGATCTGTCCTTTGTTTTTGAATGGTCAGGCTCATATTCCTTATTCTGAATCTTGGCATTTGGATCATTTACCAAATTAACCTCATTAACATTATCTCCTCTCCTTACTTTTTCATTACAATATGGGGGGGGGGTGCGATTGTCGTTATCAAGCATCTTCAGCAGACAAGAATAATTTATTCAAAAAATATATTCCAAAGAACCATAAGAATCTTAGAATTTTTCAAAAAATTATTTGGAGGGAGGCAGCAGCTAGATGTTTTTTTCCGCTTAAAAATAGGTCTTGAATCTTGCTTGTCCAGACCCAATAGATCTTAATCTTCAACAATAGAATAAAAATATAATCGACAGTTTTCAATATTCTATTCATCTAGGGATGAATTTTTTTTTCTGTCCTAGGTTTTTCGTTTACAAAAACATGTTTTAAATAAATGGAACAGGTTAAAAATTGCCACTTGCAATGAGGAAAGATCTGGTCGATTTCTAGATATTATTAATACAAAATTTCAATAAAAAAATTTATTTTAATCTGATTATTGTTACATTTGGGTAGGATGGTAAAAATTATATTGATTCCACGATATACTTATATATCGTCTGGCGGGTATATTAATTGTAATTGGTCAAAAATATTATTAGATCCAATCGGTTTGATACCCTTGCAACATATACTATTTTAAATATTTTATTTGTAACACAAAAATACATGTCGAAAATACTACAACTAACTATTTTCGAATATCAATTTCATGGAATCCAAAAAAATCTTCCAAATCATTGCAGGGTAAGAAAAAACCACTTAAAATTGTTTTCACTATAAAAAAAAAATACAGCAATGCACAATAGCGAATTTGGTCATTCAACTATAAACACGATAACCAGTGTTAGATTTGTGTTGTTAAACGGCTCGTTCTCAATATTTTTTCCAGAAAAATACTTAGGCAAGCTTGAAGAATTTGTCCCATAGAAGGAACAAAGGTCTAAGGCATATATTGTCGAAATCTCGAAGTTTAGGCAATATTTTTCTGGCTAAAATATTGAGTTGGCCGGTTAACAACACTGAGTCAGATAAGGATTGAGGTCTAGCCAGTTATACGAAAACGATGGGTATATATATATCTCATCTACCGATGGTTTTAATTTTTTTTGCTTACCCTTTATATTTAATCCGGTAATGGAAAAGTGCTGGCAAAATAAGTTTCCATATCAAGTCAGAAATATAGGCACATTAAGAAAATCTAATTTTAAATGCTAGCTCCTAATTATTATTATAGATAATAACTAAATACACATAATAACGTACAACGATTAGAAGAAATATTAATAATACAAATATTTTTTTAAATTTTAAATACAATTATAAAATAAATAAAATTTACACAAGGGAAGATTTTTTTTGTTTAAAATAATTTTAGTAAAAATTTTTAATAAGATGTCACAAAAAAAATATTTATGTAAATTGCAACTAAGAAACGATATTTAAAATTTATATAAAAAAAATAAACATATATGGTGGATCTTTTAACTAAATATATATTTAATATAATTGATCAAAAATGATAACACAAAAAAGTATAATTTTACTATTAAATAAATGTAGTAAAATTTTTATTGCATTTTTTTTTAAAATATACATATATAAAAATGACATGTTTTGGAAGAAAAAAGGAAAGGTGTGATTTCTCCAAAAAAATAACCGGTTTAAGGAATGATCCGATATGGAATGGATTTAGATCTTAATTGTGACACTAGGAATTATTCATTTTCAAATTTATTGCCGTTCTAAAAAATAGGAAGGCTTCTTTGGTGTTAGGGCATATCTAGGTATACTATTCCCTAAAACTTTAAAAATTTGGTTTAAAATATAAGTTTTAGAAAATATCAAGAGGGAAGAAGAGAGAGGTATGATAAGGGGGGCAAAAAAAAAGGTTTTTATAAATTGTGAATTGGTGTGAGGGTAAAAATAAATTGACTTATAATGGGTAAGATTATTTTGTTAGCAGAATATAATAAATAATTTTTTTTTTAATTATGGATTTAATAAAGTGGTAATATTTTAGTTTATATAATTGTTGCGATTTAATATTTTGATTTATCTGAGATCGATATCCTCTTTATCCTTGTCAGTTACGTCAGTTATAACCAGGTCCAAATTGGGCGTTACGGGGGTTACAGCGGGAATGGGGGATTTTTGGTTCTTGGATTCTTGATAAGTAAAATAATTAGGTTAAATTCGGTTGTGAAAAGTAGTCATACCGTTTGTCGTTAGAATCTCTTCGACATTCTTCGCGTCTTCCGGCTCAACCTCTATAATGCTCTCGCCTTCGGTCGTGAAACTTTCCTTCCTTTTCCTGGTGGAAGGAGATGGCGTAAAAATATGCGGCAAATTTGCGTCTCCGATAAAAAAAAAATAAAAAATTGGATTATAAATTTTTTTTCCTATAAGACCGGAAAAGATTTGAATTCCAAAAAGAATTTTAGGAGTATTTTTAACAGACCTTTTGGGGGGGAGGGGGATAATCTCTAGTTGGATATTTTAAAATGCTTCGAATACGAAAAAAATTCATATTCATATACAAATTATAATGATTTAAGAATTAAACATTTCTTTTCTTTTAGTTCCCAAAACTTATCTATCCCCCCTCCGTGTCGTGTAATTAAAATATATTCTTTTTTTACAAAACTTACCACGCTCCTCGTAGTTTGATTTATCGCGCGAAGCGTTGTTAGGACTTTTGACGCTGCTGGAACTTATGTCGTTAGGACTTTTGGCGCTGCTGGAAGGACTTCTGATGCTGCAAGAACTCATGTCGTAAGGACTGTGGACGCTGCTAGAACTAAAAGTTTGATTCTTGCTGGAATCGGAAGATTGGGTGGAGCTATTAGTGTTATTAGAACTATTCTTACTCTTGGTGGAAGATTTCTTCGGGCTAGCAAATAACGCGTCCCTAATAAATTATTTTTGAAAAAAATATATGGTGGTTTTAAAAAAATAATAATTATTATTTTTGACCTAACTATAAGGAGTAATTCGATTTATTTATTTTATTGTTTTCTAATCTATCCGAAACTCTATCAATATCTTATGTTTTATGGCAGCTCTAAATATGACAGGAATTCTAGGAAATTATTATCATTCGAATCTCCGCATATCCATTTTTCTTCTCTTCGATATTAACGAGAATTTTGTAGCCTGGACTAAGGAAGGTTCAGGTTTTCCTATTTCTTAAAGAGGTTTTTATTTCCGGGTATAAGATTTTTGACCAGGTTTCAAGTGGTTCCAGAGGAAATGGAATTAATTTAGCGAAATATAGAAACAGCACTGAATATCTGGAATATGTAATGCCCGATTAGCAGAGTTGTTAAAAGGTATACCTTTTTAATGAATCTATGTAGAGATACATCGTCTAAAAAGTTATCTAGATATACGATACACTTTTTAAAATGTATCTTGGCAAAGATAAAATTTAAATAGCAGTTCACAGATAAATTGTCGATTTCAATATTTCTTTCGAAAAAAAAAAAACCTTTCGTTTGACGCACTAGCTCTCTTTCCTTTGCTATCTTTCCGAGCGGGAAGCTCGTTTTGATGCAAGGACAACCGCTTCTGCAATTGTTCGGCGAAGTTCAACTTGCTCAATTCCTGGCGTCTTCTCTCCTCATCGATAGTGTCCTTTTCTAAATCGTCGTCCGAATTTTCGCGCTTACCACCCGAAGGATTATCGTCCTCTCCGCGAGATCCTTCCATCTCAAAAGGCGTTTTAAGGTTCCTGGCCAATATCAAGTACTTATTTTTTTTTAAAAAAAATAAATATAAGTAAGAGTAAATCCCTCTATTTGATCTCTTTTTCGGGATGCGGCCCAAAAACAGAAATCTAAAAAAAATAAATTATATTAATCGAACCCGGTCCCAATCAGCTGAGTTACGGTTAAAAAATTTGCATAACCCGAAAAATTAAAAAATATTATTTAGGTCCGAGTCGGCTACGATAATTAATAGGCAAATAATTCTCTTCCGATTCGCACTATAATCGCTAACTCATATTAGCGATCAGGAGTTATCGGAAATAATTTGGTCGATTGTTTAATAACATATTATTTATAATTTAATTTAATTTATTCAAAAAAAAAAAATTAATGAATTTTTAAATAATAAATTGATTTTTCGCGGGGAATAAAAAAAAATGATGGAGATTAAATTTTAACAAAATTTTACAGAGAAGATCAATAAATAAAAAATGGCGAGTTTTGTTTTAAAAATGAATAATTCAGCAGACGAAACTTTATAAAGGAGGTCAACTAACATTTTTAAAAATAATATTTCTCTATACATTATATTGTTGTATCATTCATTCGGTAAGCAATTCAGGTTTTTGGTGTTAGAGTCAATATAAAATATCATATCAGAGACCTGCAGGCCCGGCCCTGAGCCCGACCCGGATACACGGGCCGGGTCGGATTGTACAAATGGTACCTCTGCAGATCTATGAGATAAATAAAAATCCAATAAAAGAGTCTCAGCAACGCTTCAACAGTGCATCTCGGGGTTAACAGATATAACTTTAGAAATTTTGGGCGCTTTATTTGTGAGTTGGACGTTTTTCTACATAATTTACGACCATACAGGATCGGCCAATCTGATTTATTACATGTCGCGGTATAAGGCGCAGAGCAGGAATCCAATAGCGACTATAGGTTCGGTTCAGATTCGATTAAAATAAAAAAAAAAATATCAGTTCTGGTCGAACCTTTAAAAACAGGTTAGAAACCTTTTCGCATTCAAGCATATTTTCAAGATTCTCTTAGAATAAATTTTAGGACCGTTCACTTCCATGCTAACTTGAGGTGACTGGTACCATCAAATAGCAATAATAAACAAAAATTCGCTGAACACTTACCCAGTCAATCAAAGCTGATTATCGATAATCTCTTTAAAAAGAGTTAATATATCAACAAAAAAAATTCAAACCCGTTTTCACAGGCATTTTTGAGGTTTGGTTCGGGTGACAAATTTTTTTAATGGTCCCGGTTAGGTTCGGTTAATAACAAAGATTAATACCGGTTTAACGGTTCGGTTTGACTCCCGGTTTGGAGCAAACAGTCGCGATTTGATTGAATAATTGCCATCGATCTTTCGTTCCATATCCCAACTTTTCTCTCATCAGCTCATTTAAATGTTATAACTTTATTCGAAAATAATTAATATTTCAAAATATAGGCTATATTATAAAAGGGTTAGATAAGATTAAGATTAACCTCTGTATCCAGATTCTTGATAGTGTTATTTTGCGTTTGGAGTAGCTTAAGTCCCTGACCATCATTTTCCTCGTAACTTCTGATTAATTTCAAGCATACTTCGCAAAAGGCTGAACCGGAAAATTCTAAGGAGCTGTTTTGTTGTGGGGAAAAAAAGTTGTATTCATATATCGAGTTCTCAGGTATATTGATCTAAATATTTTTATATCATCTTTTTCTGTATGTGTCCGTTCATATTAAAGAGAAAAACCTTAATATTTCTATTCAAAATACATGGGAAAAGTAGACTCTAAACATTTTTTTTACTAAGCTTCGAATTATAAAATCCATAAAATGATTTTTAATTTGCACTGTTACAAAGCCTCTATTGGATAATGCACAACATGTTGAAAAGGAGGAATATTGCCTGCAAAATTCTGATTTTGGAAAATATGTTAAATCATACGCTTTTCAATTGCTTCTAATGAATCAAAGATAAAAAGATAAAAAAATATTGAATATTTTAGAAATGATCGTTTTGCCATGTAAAAGATCATACTGAGGTAACAGATTATTCCAAACATATTTAAGTTAATGACAATAGGAAATTTATTGGCAAATTAATTTATCGAAAAGTTATAAGTATCAGCTCCAGGAGATCTGTTAAAGATACTAATCTTAAGAACAAAATCATATTGCAAAAAAAAATCATCGAACACCTATAGACTGGCAAACGTGGTATAAATAACTAAAAAACAAAAGTTTAGTAACATGTTTACAACCTACAATTGAGTTTTTGGAAAAATCTAAAATATAATTATTGTAGGTATAATGGTAAAGCAGCCTTTTGGAACTCTCTAGAACCAATTTTTTTCCCTTTCGATCAGGCTTGAACTAGAAAAAACTTGAAAATTATTTTCTCATTTTAAATATTTCATTCTTCCTAAAATTTTGTATCTAATTTGTTATTGTTTGAAATTCACATTTTAAAAAAAAATCCTAGTTATATATACTACACTCTCTTGAGTGTTACAAAAAGATATAAATATCTTTAAAAAAAGGCATATACTTAATAATGTACTCTTATTAAATTCCTAAAATATTCTTTAAAAAGGTTATATTCGTGGTAAAATATCAAGTGATTTTGTAAAAATGTTTAGTTTGAGTTATAAAAAAAAAATCGATTTAAATCAATAATTTTTTTTTTAAAAAAACCACTTGATTTAAATTGCGAATGAAATCGGAACTCATTCTCAACTTCCGCCACTCCCCTGCCACACCCCATTTTAATGCCTCCCGTGAGCAGTTAAAGCGCTAATAAATCTGGTAAGGAGGGGTGGTAAGGGGGGGGGGAAGGTGATACTATTTTAACGTAATAAATTTTATGGTTTAAACGAGCAAGCTTGGTTCATAGCGTTTTCGGCGGAAACAGAGTCCCCCCTGGTTAACTGGACCAAGACCAGGTTTAGACAACAACGGCCCACCTCGTTGAAATTGTTTGACTTCAGATCGCTATCGAGTTGCTTGGTGAGGTAGAAGACGGCGTCGAAATATCTGAAATTAGTAAACAAATTTTTTAAAAAAAAAAATTAATTAATTTTCCTATAATCGGTTTTTAAATTATCTCTTTTTTTTAGAAAAAAATTATTTTTTCCGTTTATTGCCAGCCAGCTATAACTGTTTATCTTCCGTAATTTGTTTATTTACGGTTAGGGTTATTTATTTTTAAAGTTAGTGGAACTGATTATAACAGGATTATTTGCCTCCGAGTGGACTCGTTATTCAAGAGAGAGAACCTATTTTAGAAACAAAATGGTTGTATGTACATATTCTAACAATAAAAAAATTGGGTCTGTAAAAAAAAAACATTCCAGTCGAACGTTCTGGAAAAGTTCTGTAATGCCTTCTTCCGATTCTCGGGAATAGATCGAGATAGAAATTTTTAGGTACATTCCCAACATTACGATGACCTGAACGGAATACATCATTTTAAAAGTAATTGGAAAGAAAAAAAAGAAGGAAGTTAACTCCCAAGCAAAAAGGAATGGGGGGGGGGATCGTTGAAGTGCTAAATGTCATGCTTCTACAATTCACAAATTGGAAGCTAATAAAGAAGCAAGCATATGCTCCCAATTTCTAAGGAATAAATCTCCCGCCAAAAAAGCATATTTCGAAATTTTTTCCTAAGTGTAAAAGGTGAAGGATAAATTATTGACCCTGACTACACGTCGATCAAAAACTGAGTTATAATCTAATTATGGCCATGATATATATATAAAAAACAACTTGTTTTATTTAAATCGTGTTAAGCTATATATTAAAAAAAACAAATTGTTTTTTTTAAATTGCGTTTAAGCTATTATTATTATTATTATATACTTTTGTCGTAAAAAATATTTTTAAAAAAAAACCGATTTAAACGGACGTATATCTGTGCAACTTTGGCGCAAAGTTGGCTGAATTGATTGGAATCTTCCTCCGATCCAACGATCTCCAAGGCTTTGATATACAAATCCGCGCTCTTCTCTGGCAGAGGGGAACGTTCCAGCATTCTTTCGTTGTTTTAGTTTAAAATAAATATATACATATCAGAGACCTGCGGAGGTACCATTTGTATGGCCCGACCTGACCCGGCCCGGTTTTTTAAAAATCACAATATTGCGATATCTTTCGCTGTCGGCCAAATATTGGCGGAAAATCCTGCAAACGGAGATGACCAAGTTCGAAAAATGATTGCACATATATTTAAAATAATCTAAAGAATATTCATAAAAACGCTCGATTCATCAAGTTTAAAATTTATCTGTTTATGTTTGTGAGTTTTATTATAGCAGGTTTGCACTCACCCTAAAACCTAGAACATAAACAAAATATTGATGATCTCTAAGGGCCCAAGCCTAAAAATTCGGGATGAGGGCGTGGGGGTGATAAAATGGCTCTTTCTGCCCAGGCTTCTATAGACCCCGCAAGCCCATGACGATATTAAAAGATAAAATATACCAATCTAAATGATGAAGACGGAAGTTCAAGTCCTTCCCACTTTAAATACGATAATAATCTTGGGCTATAGTCCCCCTCCCCTTTATCCCCAAGTGACAGTTGTTGAAGTACCCATAAATTATCAGTGTGCCGATATTAAATATCGGATCGATACCTATTACTTAAAATATCGAATAGGGTCGCTATTTCTAAGAAACCCCTATTCGATATTTTTGGGGTTATTTTATAAATAAATAATTTTAGAAAAACCCCGATCATTTTTTTTTAAAGATGGAGTAAGCTTAAAAAAAAAATTCGACATTATTTTCGTTAAAGTATTTATTGGCCAACAAGAAAAGAATTCAAGTATATAATATTCTAACGAATCACATTATAGCTAAGGTTGTTAGTAGTGTTGTTTAGATACATTTTAGCCAGATAAATATTGTCTCAAGAGCCTCTAGATCTCGCTAATAGATGTCTAGAACCTTCGTGTCAACTATGAGCAAAATCTTAAAATACATTCCTGAATATAACATTGAGTTAGCCGTTTTTTAAAAATCGGCTCAAATCGAGCCGTAGTTTAAAGGTACAAAAGTAAACCCGGCCCGTATCCGCCCCGAACCCGTATCCGTCCCGAACCCGACCCGAAAGTTGTTAGGCTCTGCCAGTAAGAACGACCCATTTTTATAACTCGTGACAATTTAGGCCACACAACTCAACAATATGATAAATATTAGAATTTTTTTGACAAGCTATACAATATGGTTAAAGGTTTTGCCCGAGAAAGAAAGATTTGGGAACGAGTCACGTGAGCTAAGGGTGGTTAGGTTTGATTTAAGCCGATTTTTAAAAGCCACACATGGTTGAAGATTTTGCCGATCGGTGGCGATATTATGAGACTTGTGTAATGATATTCTGGCTAAACCTGATTTAGCTGTTGTTTAAAAACAGCCATTCAACGACATGTGTTCAGCCATGAAAATGATTGACATTCGTGAAAGTTGGTTGGGTTTTTTTTGAATGGAAAATGTCGAATTTTCGTGACATTACATTTTGATATTAATATAAAGGTGACAAAAAATATATATTGGATGCTGCATTATAGTGATTGACCGCTTATACGTCATGGCGTAATTTTTCTAATAAACGTAACGCGTCCCTTATTCGAATTATTAATTATCTGTCGATTCAAAATTTTAAATTATGTTATCGTCTGCCTTCTTTATTTCTTTTAATTTCTAAATATTTCCATTTTTTAGGATTATAAGTAAGTTATTTTATATATAATATTACAAATGGAAGAATAAGAAAGCCTACTTGCGTTTTTTTAGATGGTTGTTAACGCCAAATGGTAATTTTACTAATTTGCACAGGGCCTATGAAATGCACAACGCTTCAATTTATAGGCACTATTAGGCAATCTTTATTATGGCTAAACTATTGATATTAAATCTATGACTGAACAAAATCCCAATTATAATTAGATAAAGTAGCTAATTATTTTGCCCTGACAACATTAAGTATCAGTTTTGGTATCAGTTAAAAAAAATGGTACAAGTGCATCTATGATTATGGCGTGGAGTGTGTCAATATAAGCTGGAGATTGGCCCAACCCACAAAAAGGTTTTCAGGGTGGACCTAACAAATCAAAATTTAGATGTTTCTTAAGTTGATAATTAGACAAATTTATGTCGTTTTTCTTCATACACGCATAACTAACATTTTATGGGCCTAGGTAAAAATAATTATAAGTTAAACATATAAGATTCTAGATACCTGCACAACCTTTAAAATAGGCTAATATCAAATAATAGTATATTTTTGACTATTTTTATAAACATAACTCAAATGAAAATTTTTACTTAAATATTAATCTGTAAAAGAAAAATTCATTATATTAAAATTATTGTTGAATAACTATAAATCTCCATCTTAGTGCACGTCATCCTTTATTAATATTATTTTTCAATAAATTTTTTTCCTAGCTTAAATGTAAATTTTATCATTTTGATATTCACTAACACAATTTAATTGATTAGTTGTCTATATTGGGTGTACAAATAATGTATTTAGTCATTCAAAAATCGAAAGATAAACAATACAATTTATATAGGCAACATACTTTCCACCCTTATTTAAACATAAGATTGCTGTTGTCGTGGTACCTTCTTGTTGAAATAAATCACTAGCTTTACAAATAGCTTGATAACATTCATTCCATTCCTTAATTTCTTTGTGTATCATAGCCATGTGCTCATAACATCTGCGAACATATATATAGGCATTACATTAATAAAAAATTCCTGTTAAACAATATAATGAATTCTTGTCAATAATTGTAAAAACTTGGTAGAACAAAACATACCTGGCTGCTGCAGATTGCCTAAAAGAAAATATTTATAGCAAGTAACTTATATTTTGTTTACGAGTTTATTTTCAAGTAACAGTCAGCTGCTTTAATATAAGCATTTTTGCATTCTTCATAAGCCTGGGCATTTTGAAATGAAATTGCTTTGTAACAGAGAATAATTAATTAACTTTTAAGCATATTTTGAAAATAATACCTGCTTTATTAAATTCATCTGCTGCACTATCATTATCAGCTGACCATTTGAACAAAGATCTTTTAACGCTACGTAATAAGTATAACATATAAACAATTAATAATATAATTTTACTATTTTTCGGCTTTGTCTATATGTTTTAAGCCCTCTAATATTCTTGAATCGCTTGTTGATGTCATTTACAATATTAATTTTTTCAACAAAATCGTTAATCTATTAAATATTGGTTAATATGGTAGCATTATATATAACGAGGAAAATATTACATGATTAATTATATCAAGTACAATTTTTAATTATTTGAAAAAGTAAAATATAACTTTGTTAAATTGAATGATTATATTTATAAAAACTTGAAACTTTTTAAATTTATTTTTGCATGATGTATACAACTCTTTAATCTTCTTTCTATAGTAATATCTCAAATTTAAAACTAGTCTTAATTATATATATTGTCTTACTTACGAAGCACATTTGCAGGAGGGAAGGAGAATAAACCCCCTCAAAGCCCAATTTTCCTATTTTATGATTATAAATTTATATTTTATAATAATCATGCCCACCTCTAATCCCGTATATATTCGATATTACAAATATTTATCATATTAATAGCATAAATTAATAAGCTACTAATTTATTCTATAAATAATATCGATTACAAATTTTCCTCGGCAATATATTTATCTACCATTTTAAAAATTTCCCATAAAACGATTTGAAACTTTTTTACTATATAAGGTGAAATATTTCAAAATGTCATCGATTTGATTAATACATCGAACATAGCTGAACTTAACGAAAATAGGGCAAATGAACATTTTATAACTTATAAGTCATTGTTGAGTTAAAGTAGGGCTTAATGATCTCAATAGTTGCCTACGTCGATTAGTAGCAAGGCAAGTCCATATGAACTAGAGTCAGTCAGAGAATATTATAAAATAAATCTCTTCATGCCCCTCTAGGATACTATTATAATTTGATTGAATAAAGGATTCTCGATTAATCAGATAGCAAGATAATTCCCCGCAAAAACTCCCTCCCTCAAAAAATTTCAACTGAAAATGATTTAATGAAAAAAATTTTCTTTGAATAAAATTATTTAAATTGAAAAAAAAAATTCTCTATAAATAAAATATTTTAAAATTTTGAGAAAATCAAAAAAAAATCAAAACAAATCAGTAAAATATATATATGGGAAAAAATTTCACATATAAAATTTTTAACCAAAATTGCAAAAGTAGTGTTATTTTTAAATTTGATCAAATTTTAAAAATAATATCTATTAACCCTAATCCATATAATGTGAAATGTGAAATTTGTTTTTTTTTAATTTACCCTCGAAGTTTAGGTATTTCAAGCAAAAAACAAATTAAATAAATTTTGGTTCCCTATTAAACATCTATCCCAACTTTTAGATATGTATAGAAAAGAATTTAAACACTTTTCGTGACTGAAAGAAATGTTACAAGAAATATCCTTAGCTGTTTTTTCCTTTTGAAAAATATTTACTTTTTATAATTTTACAAATTTTTAGAAGATGGTTTTTAGAAAACAATTATGAAATTATTAGTAATCTCCAAATTGTTTTTTACAAATAAATAAGAATAACATATCTAATTGGGAGATTACAATTGAAGATTTATACATCTTCAAAAATAGTGGGCCATACGAACTTTTTATTGATCATCTGGAAAATAATATGGAATAGATTAACATGAATTTACTCTTCATTTTATATATTCTCGTTTAAAAAAAATAAGTTTTTTATCACAGCATTGTAAAAATAATCCATTTTAATTGTTTCTTTTTATCGCAACCTCTCCATCTTTAATTTGGATGACATTTTCTTTCCATAATGTCAAAAATCTATTTGACTATGCTATCGCTGCTAAATTATATAAGTAACCAGATTTATTGACTCATTTTTTTACCCATATCAAATTAAATTTACATTATAGCCCTCATACCAAGTTCCACTATTAAGACCAAGAGTGAATAGTATTATTTAGTCAAAGAATATTTTAAATATTTTTTATTTGTTACCCATATCAATATTTTGTGTTGAAAAATTCTGGCCCCTCAAAGCTTTCACTTACCTATTAGGAGTAGATTAACCTATGTAATCATCAAATTAAAACTGAATGCTAAAAAATATTACACGCTAAGAAAAATTATTAAATGTTAGCACTTATTTTTTTAATACCAATGATATATATATAACTAGATTGACGGTTCATGCATAAAATACTTTCTCATATTGAAATCAACTGTAGTGCCATTTTTGTAGCTTGTACGTTGATATATATATATATTCATTGTTTAATACTTATAAAAAAATTTGTTAAAAAAATGGATTCAATTTAAAAGATAAATCGTTCCAGAAAATATATGAAACTAGATATTTTTTTATCTTTATACTATTGATTTTAATTTTTTTAAAAAAGTCAGTATTAGTAATTATCGCTTTATTAATTTTTGCGCTTTTCCTATATTGACCTCGCGTTAATAAATTTTCTATATATATTATTCTCAAAATAGCTTCCTCTATATTAAAACGTTTAATTTTATATTTTATTGTTACATATCGATTTATACATCTATAGTATTTTTTAACCATATTATATTCGCTCTTAATATTTTATATTTTCCAGATAGGTGTGTTCAAAATAAACATATTTTAAAAAAATTATTTTTTTAATTTTCTTGGTTAGAAGGGGCAGGAGTAGATCAATAATTTATATTAGATTATACCAATATTCATATAAACATACAAATTTACTAAGTCATTATTTCCTGTTTCCCTTCTTGAATTGATCATAGATTTTTTTATAATGTCTTTTAATAAATTTTTTATTTATCTATATACCAACCTGTCAGTGTTCTACAAAGTGGTACTAGTGGCCAATTCATCTAACAGCTGTACTTGGAAATGCTAGAAATTATTTTGACAATTTATCAACAACTTCATATTAAAAAACTAAAATGAAAATAATATTTAACTTAAATCAAAATGCCATTATCATTTAAAAAGATGTATAATTTTAATATTCTGACAAAACATATTTATCACATTCAAGAAAATAACTATCATATATGTCATAATTGGGAGACTTTGATTTGTAAAATTTGATTTTTGGTAAAGTCAGTATGTATTGCGTTTGATGAGTCATTTTTATTTTTATAATTTTATGTTTTAGTTAAATTGGTTGTTATTTTTATAATCTTATGTTTTAGTTTAATCGCGTTAACATTTTATTTTTAGATTTATAAAAGTTAATTATTGTAAAGTCATTATGATGATGGGATTTAATTATTTATTTGTGATGATTATCGCTTCCCTATAAAAGGGAAGCGAAAATTGTAAATTATCAATTCATTTCTTTTTTTGAATTCATTTTTTTTAAATTAATTAATTTTTTTTTAACAATTAATTTTTTTTCGATTTATTATTATTAACTATTTTATTTTTGTTTTTTTAATATATTTTTTTTTTGGTTGTAATAGTATATATAAATTTTGAAATAAAATTATTCATTTTTTTTGTGTGGGAAATTCAATAAAATTATTATACTCGGAGTTTTGCTTTCTATTCGGACTTATACGGCACAACGTAATAGTTGGTGCCGTGACCAGAAAATTAAAGTAAAAACAATTATTTTTATAAATTATTTTTGGGAAAACATTTTTGTGGAGCGTTGTGGTGGATAAGATCGTCAATTTGAAGAACCGTCAAGAACAAGTACCGTCAAGAGCAAGTACCGTCAAGAGCAAGTACCGTCAAGAACAAGTACCGTCAAGGACAAGTACCGTGTGTAATAAGGGACCGTTTTGGGTTGAAAGACCGTCAAGAACAAGTACCGTCAAAAGAGGTGACCGTGGAGTGAAAATTTTCAAAAGACGTAAAGTACACGGAAGTGCTGCCCAAATTTTTGCCGATATAAATCTATTAGACGAAAATCGAAAATTTACTAAAAAAGTAGAGTACACGGAAGTGCTGCCCAAATTTTTGGTTATATAAATCTATTAGACGAAAATCGAAAATTTACTGAAAAAGTAGAGTACACGGAAGTGCTGCCCAAATTTTTGTCTATATAAATCTATTAGAAGAAATTCCCAAAAAAGATTATTAGAAAACAAATTACACGGAAGTGCTGCCGATTTTTTTTCAAAAGACGTCAATACACGTAAGAGATTAAAGATTAGCGGAAGGTTTTGATTTTTTTTTTGGAAATTGATAAATGTATATGTGTATTATTGGAGTTTTTACCTTATTGATTTTATCTTATTGTCTGACATTACAAGTAGTTAAGATATTTTTGGTGAAATTAATTATTAATTTTTTGTAAATATTTTTATAAAATTTAGTGTTGTTAGAGAAATAAATTAGGAAAAATTTAAATACGTAAATATTTTAATGAAGGGTTTTAAAATTACAAAATATGTGGAGTTGCAATATAATGTATTGGGAGCGGTGGTAGTGTTGATGATATGGTTGTGTAGTTTATATTTTGGAAGGAGAATGCGAAGAGAAAGGAGTATTAGGATTCGTGGGCAATCGTTGTTGGTAGAGGGGCATAATGGAGAGGATGATAGGTTGGGGAGAGTGACGTGGTTACCGGTTCAAGAAATAATGAAGGGTTGGGTCAATAATGAAGAAATTGACCGGTTAAAGAACGAGAGGATAGATGACAGACATTTGGATGTATACCGTGGACGTCAAGATATGCCAAGGCCGTTCAACAGTGGGGGACAGAGAGGTCGGAATGGTAGATGTTATAAATGTGGGGAGATGGGTCATATTGCGGTGAATTGTAGAGATGTCAAATGTTTTGCGTGTGGGGAGATGGGACATATTTCGACATATTGTCCGGGACAGAGCAGAGAGAATACGTTGCACGGGTTGTGGAAGATTTGGACATGTGTTAAAGGATTGCCGAGTGGGAAAGGTGGAAACAAGGGCAGGTTTTCCACAGAGAGGAGAGTCGTCGGGGGTCGTGAATATGAGGAGTATGACGGAGATAGTTGGAAAAGAAGGAAAGGATATTGGAGAGGAGATGACGTGTTTCAAGTGCCGAGAAAGGGGACATTGGGCCAGAGATTGTAATAAAGATTGACTATATGATGGGAAGGAGAGTAAAATAATGACCGTGGCGTTAGGAGGAGGCAAGAAAGAGTTGAGAGTTAAAATGTTGCAGCAGGAGGTTCAAAGGGAGTTAATGTATCTGCCGAGTCCAAGGGTATGGTTCGA